CGGGGGGGGGGAGTGCAGCCCTAATGCTATTATTTTTCTAAATAATTAGACCTTGATTTTTGCCCAGCAGACAAAAAAGTTGGGACCTCACCTGAGCCATATCTAGTGACTGGAATATCTTGAAGTTGGACTTTTTTGACCAATAGACAACAACTCAGAGAAGCCTAGCAACCACTCAGGACCATTACTGTTGGCAGGATTGGACAGGAAGTTCCCTCAGCAGAGTTAACCATTTAAGTAACTCAAATGCTCACATCAGTGTCTGCGCATTCGCAAACATGTGAGCAACAGGAGAAATAAAAACACAGACTACAGCAGAGCCCTTCATGTTTGAAGTTACTACTGACTCCAGTGTTCTGGTCTGTGAGAGTCAGCAGCACTTCCCAAAATACACTATGAACTCACCGCCAAATATATCCGACACAGTGTGAGTGTGACTGTTCTAAAGTTCTACGGTAAAAACATATCTGCTCACATGGCCGTCCCCTCATCCCATCTGAGAGATTACGGTCAGAGCATTAGTGGGCCAGTAGGTAAACAGGAAGATCAAACTCACAAGAGCAGCTCAATCAATGGGGCTCTTTGACTCCTGGCCGAGACATCGATTTATCCCTCTAGACCACCTTGAGAATGTTTGTGTATGTGTTTGTCAGCAAGAGTCAGACGGAGAAAAAGAACAGAGGACAGAGACCAGATCTATAGATATATTTCACATTGAGAGAGCGAATAAAGTCCATAAAGTCACTTTTAAAAGCATGCAAACATAATATATGACACCATGAGATTTCTTGCTGCAACAGATTTGCACGATTTTTTCACTTGCAGACAGGTTTTGAGAAATCGAAAATAGGTGCTCGTTCGGCATTCAATTTCGGCATCTGTAATATTCATCTCATGCTAGTCCACCTTACACAACATACAAACAGCTCAAATCGAAATCAATTGTCGATGCAAATTCACCTGAACAATTTCAAACCAATGCAAAATCTGCATGGGGAAGTCTTTCGTCCTCAAGCGAAATTCCCGACTTGTGCACATTCCTATTGAAATGACTCGATTTAGACCATGAAAATTTGCCAAACACCGGTAAATGTGAGCGTAAATTTAGTCTTATTTGGCTAACTGTATGTTTGCTGAGCGTTTGTCTCAATGGGCTTAAATTTATATGAAAGTACAGTCCATTTTGCATTAATTGAAAAGTTAACATCATAAATTATGGAAGTCAGTTTCCGCAACAGAATAAAAAATTTAAAAAGGTAATTGCGACTTTTTATCTTAGAATTCTGAATTTTTTTCCTTGCAATTCCGAGTTCAAATCTCACAATTCCAAGTTTACATCTCACAAATTTGACTTGCAATTGCACATTTATCTCTCGCAATTCTGACTTCTTGCAATATGCTTTATAAACTCGCAATTGCAAACTAGCATCTCAAGCTCATATTTTGTAAGTATGAGTTTATATCTTGCAGTTTTCTGTCAGAATTGCAACAAAAAAACTAACATAAGTTGTAATTTTTATTTTTTTTTAATTCTGTGGAGGAAACGGGCTTCTATAGAAAATATATTTTTCTCCTAATTTTAACTGGACATAGAAACTATGGTTTCTCAAAGTTAGACATGGCCTTGGACAGTCTGAGATCTTAATCGGACTGCATTTCTGTCTCTCACAGCCTCATTTCACATCAAATTGAAGGTAAAGTGTGTAGTTTCTACACCACTAGTGACATCAAATAATACTGCAAAAATTAAAGGGTTAGTTCACCCAAAAATTACAATTCTGTTATTGATTACTCACCCTCACGTCGTTCCACACCCCTAAGACCTTCGTTCATCTTCAGAACACAAATGAAGATATTTTTGATCAAATCCGATGGCTCAGAGAGGCCTACATTGACAGCAACGTCACCCAAACTCTCAAGATCCATAAAGGTACTAAAGACGTCGTTAAAACTGACTACAGTGGTTCTACAATAATTTTATGAAGCGATGAGAATACTTTTTGTGCGCAAAAGCAAAACAAAAAGAATAACTTTATTCAGCAATCTCTTCTCTTCCCTGTCATTATCCTTACGCGGGTAACATCCGAACACCGGCCCATTATTGGCCAAAGCTGCACATGTGAGCAGCGCGACGCATGCGTGTGATGCTGATGCAGGAGCCGTCCAATAATGAGCCGGTGTTCTGACGTAGAACCTGGAAGCGCTGGACGTAAACAACGTATGAGAATGACACAAAAGAGAAGAGGTTGTTGAATAAAGTTATTATTTTTGTTTTGTTTGTGCGCACAAAAAATATTCTCGTCGCCTGTTTTAACGACGTCTTTAGTACCTTTATGGATCTTGAGAGTTTGGGTGGCGTTGCTGTCAATGGAGGCCTCTCTGAGCCATCGGATTTGATCAAAAATATCTTCATTTGTGTTCTGAAGATGAACGAAGGTCTTAGGGGTGTGGAACGACGTGAGGGTGAGTAATTAATGAAAGAATTTTCATTTTTGGGTGAACTAACCCTTTAAGACTTTAAAAACAGAGTTTCCAAATGGGTTTTCATGCTTCCCTTCCATCTTTGACTTCCATTATTAGGGGAAAACAGTGATTCAAAATCGGTTGAGACAAAGTTGACAGACCTCAAAAAGCAGATCAATGTTTCCTTGGCAGTTCTTCCTGCACATTAAACTGAGCATTTTCACGCCCTAAATAATTACAAGCATCACCTTTAAACATGGTGTCTAGCCTGACTAACATTGATGACGAGACACAACAAGGCATCGCTAGCAGCAGCTAGGGAACTGCAGCAGATTACAATTGCACTGCAATTTTTGTCTTCAGCTCTCTTGTGAGGGCATGCCACTGTCAAATATCTTCTTAAACACCCGTAAGCATGTACAAACACATACAAGCACAAGACGTGCATAAATTCCATGTCCAAACGCAGCGGTTTTAACACGACTCCCTCCCCTGTTCTGAAACAGCCCCGCAATCCCTTTTAAGAGAAGACAAGGAGAGAAAAAAAAACAGGAAAAAAGAGAAAAGCAGCACTGTTATGACTTCCAGCTGTGGGAACGACTGGCCCGCGAGCAGGAGGTCCAAAGGAAACGCCTTCGTCACATCCCGCTCCTGTGTTCATTCTTCAAAAATGGGGAGAATTCACTCTCTTTTTCGGCGGCCTGTTTTATTAGTTTATTTTTCAGGATACATGTGTGTTTTAGGCAGTGTTTTTTATGCCTTACCTCATATCTTCCAATAAATCACATTCCGTCTGGTGTTTGAGGTGCAGGCGGCCGAGCTGCTCCGTATGCGTGTTCTTCAGTTCCTGTGTCACTTTTACCTGAACAGCAGAAGACATCATTAGAGGTGAGGAAGAGGATGGCACGTGCCAGCTGCACAAACACACACAATGTCCCACATGAGCTCATTATTGTGTTTCCAGCTCCAGCCAACTGTACAAGACACGATGACAAATTCACAATCCTTCCAAACAACAAGAGCAGAATTCCCACTTATCAAAGCAGCAGACAGACACAGTTTTATGTTTGATTCCTTCTATAAAAAATACAGAATGTCACTCCACTGTCACAAGCGTAATTAAAGCTCAAGTGGGTCATTTTTGGATGTTAAAACTTTTTCCTGTCACAGTTTGGTATGCTGTCACTCAAAACATTGGCTCAACCAATGGCGTGAGTTTGGGGGCGGGACAATCTATTTTCAAAAATAGTGGAGTGTTCCTTTAATGATATCAAAAGAGTTCAGAAACTATTATGTTATACAAAAATTTTATAAAATATGCCAATTTTACACAGTATCAACAACAGAATAATTCATGAATTTTTACTTACTAATGTAAGTAATCAGCAAAGACACATTTATAATATTAGTATACCATGGAACTGAATAAGTGGCATGTTCACGCACCGCAGAATTCTGTCCGAAAATACATGGTAGTAGCATTTTGTCACATTTTTCTTTTATCACACTCTTAAAAATAAAGGTACCAAAGGGAGGTTTCACAGTAGGGCCTTTCGCACCACTTTAGTTCCAGAACTAAATGTACAGTACTAAAGTACAGGGACGATTTTGCGCAAACTATTTCCCAGTACCATTTAAAGGGTTGCATTCGCACCGAGAGTGTGAACTAAGAAGTGACATAAGCCGGTCGACAGTGAAGTCATTTGTGCACGGTGTTCAACAACAGAAACAAAGAAGAAGAACATTAACAACAGCAGGATGGAGGATGGAGGATGCTATGATAGGAGCTGTGTTTTTGTTGTGTCTCGCGGGTTTCACAATAATGGACATGGAAAGTCGACGTATACGTAAAGCGATTGAAAGAACGGAAAGGAGGACTAAGAATCTCCAACGACAACTGGCAGTGCTACATTTGCTACAAGTGCCTGCACTTCAGCGTCCGTCCATCTATCGCTGTTCTCCATATTCCAGTCACTTGTGAAATAAGTTGACATGCTTACAGTATGCTTACACAGAGTTTTAAATCATGGCGTGTGAGGGCGTTTTCATACGCGTTTGGCCAATCAATGTCTACTTGCGTCACGATTAGTACCAGTTGTGCTGGTTAGACCCTGCTCCGGAGTAGGAGCTAATTTGGTTCTCGAAAAAGGGAGTCCGGTACTTAAATCGCACCCAGTTCCGGCGGTGCAAAAATGCCAAAAAGTGTGTAGTTCCACACTTAGTTCTGGTACTACGAAAAGGTTCCCACGGTGCGAAAGGCCCTACTGATACCATAAAAGAACCATTTTCAGTCCCCCCCCCCCTTCCAAAAAAAACTTTCAGTGAGCAGTTCCTAAAAGAACCATATTTTCAAAGACTCCTTTAATAATCTTTAAAAATAAATAAATAAATAACATTTTCCCTTATAACGGAATGGTTCCATGGATGTTAAAGGAACCATCGATTAAAAATAAATGTTCTTTATTGGCAGTGTGTAGTATCATACCAGTAATATGAAAGATAAAAGTTTTAGGTTTATCTACAGGAAACTGCAAGCATAAATGCTTTGAGGTCAACAATAAAGACGCAGGTGATGGTTTCGTTTAAGACCTTTAACTGCTCATATCCTAAAGTATGCGGAAGTGAAAGTCATGGAATGATAAAGAACCCTTCAATTATGAATCAACATTGATTGAGCTCATAAACAGCTCTTTGCTGGAATGACTAAGGTGGCGTAATCAATCTTTCAGAACTCTATAAAATAATCTTGATTACAGGAAATATGGCATTGATAACAAATTTATGAGTTAAAGGAATAGTTCAGCAAAAATGAAAATTTACTGAAAATGTACTCACCCTAAGTCCATCCAAGTTTGTTTCTTCATCAGAACAGATTTGGAGAAATGTCGCTTTACATCACTTGCTTACCAATGGATCCTCTGCAGTAAATGAGAGTCCAAACAGCTGATAAAAACATCACAATAATAATCCACAAGTAGTCCACACAACTCCAGTCTATCAATTAACGTTAAACTTTAAATTAACTTTAAACTGTCCCTTCTGGTCAAAATACGAGTGCATAATCCACAATAACGTTTCCTCCAGTGCAAAACGTTCATCCCCTGTTGTCCTCTCACATCAAAATGCAATGACATATTTGTTTAGAACTGTTTGGGTTGTTTTGTTGTTTGTTTTTATCATGGATAAAGGATTAATATTTTAGCCGAAAGCAATGGTTAAAAAAAAAAAAGACTTAATTATGGACAAACACAGCTATTCGCTTCACAAGATGTTAAATGATAGATTGGAGTGGTGTGGATTACTTGTGGATTATTGAGATGTTTTTATCAGCTGTTTGGACTCTCATTTTGACGGCACCCATTCACTGCAGAGCATCCATTGCTGAGCGAGTAATGTAATGCTACATTTCTCCAAATCTGTTCTGATGAAGAAACAAACTCTTCTACATTATGGATGGCCCGAGGGTGAGTAAATTCTCAGTTTACTATTTTCTTAAATGCTCTTAAAACAATCAAGAGGAACACAATCTCCTCAATGTCTGGATTCAATCACAGGTACTGGTGCCTGAACCAAACATGGCTACAAAGAAGATGCGATACTCAGCCGCCCCACTCAGGCAAGTAGAACCCAATGGGACCAGACCAATGAGCCCGGGCAGGTTGACTAATATCTGGGGAGAAACTGGTAATTACAACAGAAGTTCTCCACTTGGATAATTGGTTCTGTAACAACTCCCTAAAGGTTAAAGGCAAGGAGGACGGAAAATAATACAGAATGCTCCGCATCCAACCCTACCAGCATCAGCAGGACACAACGTTACACCATAAAACACATGGTTTGTCAAGCGGCTGCACGGCTCTCGTCAACACTTTGAGCTGCACAGGTGAAGCAGTATTACTCGGAGATGGAGGAAACACTCACAGCAGCATTTGCGTCAGACGAAAACAAGCCAATTTCCAGGCATCAGGCCGATACCGATAACAGAAAAAATGAGCATTTATCGGCCGATACCGATATGGTGGCCGATATATCGTGCATCCCTAATTTACTCAGGTCTTTATGGAAATATCCACACTGATGCCAGACACAGATCAGATATTTGGTATGAAAGACACATTTTCTGTCTGACCAGCACATGCACCTTTTAGTCTCACATTTAACCTATTTACACAAATCATTTACTGGAGGCTATCCTGTGTCCTGCATATCTATAGAAAGAGCTAGACGTCATTTATGGCCCATTCCAAAGAGAGAAAACATTATCAGCGTGAACACGACCAGAGCAAACGCATCTTTGTTTAATATTTGCATTTTAAAACGTCGTTTAGCGAAAATAAAGAGGGTTATTGTGGGGTAAACGTGTGCTACATGCTATCTGCCTTCCTTCTCCTCACAAGACAAAGCAATTGTAAAAAGTCAGACGTCACCTTTAAGGATTTGACACTCTGATGCAAGGCTCTGATGATTAGAATGCATAACTGTGTGCGGAATACAATGATTTCGTGTGGTAATTTCACATTCCTCCATGCAGCCTGTGGGACACGAGTTTGAAACCCCACACCTCTGCTGTCACCTCTGAGGGAGACAGTAAACCCTCTTTCTGTAGGATATATGCATTTAAACGCATTTTTCTCACATGTGCATGACATTTGGACACATTTAAGCCAGATGTGTAACAAAATGTCAGACTGTAGGGCGAGAGAAATGATCGGTGATCCGTCTATTTGACAAAAGCGTGGTGACTCGGTCCAATCTGAGGAAACACACACACACACACACACACACACACACACAACAAGACGACTCTCACGGTTGCACGGTTTAACCGTTATCTGAGAACAAGCCAGCCTGAAACACTCATCTATCATCTCTAGAAAAATATCGGATGAATTTCGGGATTATTTGCAACCGCTGCTGCTTTAAAAACAACAATAAAACCAGGACCGCTCGAGAAAACTCTTGAACGTTGTTTCCGTGACATATAAAAACGGATACATTATTTCAAAACAAACCGCGGCTGGATACAAAGTTGCAACTTTGGGACAATGTAACAAATCACATTAAAAAAAAAAACACGTTGTTCCAACGCTGGTTTCTTACCTTTCTTGGCGGAGGCTGCATGTTTGAACATTGGCACAAATGAAGTAAAATCCCCAAAAAATGCTTCCCAGAGCGATCGGGATGGATGATTGAGAAAAGGGGATCAGACTGGGATTTGGATCTGAATTCAGACGGCCATGATGAAGCAGATCCAGTCGGGCAGACGCTCAACAAACACTGCGGATCAGGGAAGAAAGTAATGAAAGAGAGAATATGCCTCCAAAGATGAGTCTCCAACCGTGAAATCCAGCCCAACAGCGCCCCGGACCGGACACACCGAACCCCGCTGGACGAACCCTACTACGGGGAAGGCGTAGCTCATGAATATTAATTACGTAACGGGACGTTCGCTCACTAGGCGAACCCGATTGGCTTACGCTGGGCGCGTGGGAAGTGGTCAGCTGGTTATTTGAATATTAATGAAGTTATGTGATTGGACAGTTCAAGAATGCGCCGACGGCGAATGGAGTTCATTACTATTCACGAACTAGGCCTTTGCCATAGTAAAGTTAGTACATTTCGCAATCCTAATCATTCTTTATCCAGAGGATGAAAACAAAACAAATTTTGATTTACTTCCGACAGAGTTGCAAAATTAATTATCGACTGTACAATTTGGGAGAAATAGATATCAAATGCATAAAATAATTATTCGAACAGTTCTGGAATGTCTAATGCATCTGTAGCATCGACATCTAAAGCCACTAAATCTGCAGGGCTGAACATGAAGCTACACCTTCAAAGATTGATTAGATTTTTCTTGGAATGTGTCATAAAGGTCCTTAAACTTGTGCCTTGTGTATTTGCAATATTGATCATATAAAATTCACTGGATGTTACGCAATGATGCATAACAATAATCAGATCTAAGAATCTCATAAAATGGATTCTATTATCATGGTCAACCTCCTATTTATTTCTAACAGACAGTGATTTTTTTCTTTAGATTTTTTCCCCACAATGTAAATCTCTCTGAATAGGCTGGTGCTAGTTGTCACAATGAAGAAATGAATGAAAGAACAGTCAAAACTACTACTCAGACTTTATGATGACTATTTTCTACATGTTAGAGTGATGAAAAACCTGAAAGTCTGAGAATTATGTAAAGATCAAAATGCGTGACACAAATGAAATCGCTCTTATATTTGAGCTTCTGCTTTGTCTAGATGCCAGTTCTGCTCACTTTGGACATCAGCCAACTATATGAGGTGCATCCTGGGACACGTTTGAAGCATCTATTGATTGTAGGCCTATCCTTAAAGGGGTCATATGTTGCCATTTCAATTTTTCCTTTCTCTTCGGAGTGTTACAAGCTCTTGGTGCATAAAGAAGATCTGTAAAGTTGCAAAGACTAAAGTCTCAAATCCAAAGAGATATTCTTTATAAAAGTTAAGAGTCAGCCACGCCTACCTAAAACGTCTTGTTCTAACACGCCCCCACATGTCTACCTCATGATGTGAGAAGATTTGCATAACACCGCACAAATGTTCACGCAAAGAAAGAAGGTGTAACTTTTATTCTCGCTGTAGTATTGTTGCTGCCACCGCCATGTCGTGAAGGCGCTGTGTGTTTCGTTGTGAAAGCAAAACTACTTTGTTTGGTCTTCTAAAAGAGGACGATATCTGCTTCGTCATGCCTGGAGCTGATCCGTGCTGGTCGCTGAGGAAATACTTCAACTTCGCGCTGTGGATCGCCGGATCGGCTTTCACCGCGGACGAAGCGGAGTCCAGCCCGGGGTCGTCACATGTGGTTGCCGCAGGTATCACAGTATGGTAAGGGACGTAACATTTCCGTCACACGCTTGAGGAATTCAGCCAATCACAACGCACTGGATAGCTGGCCAATCAGAGCACAGCTTGCTTTTCAGACCGATGAGCTTTGTAAAAATCAACGCGTTTCAGAAAGGCGGGGCATAGAGGAGAAACAATAATGTACAGTATGTGGAAAATAATGTGTTTTTTGAACCTTAAACCGCATAAACACATTTCATTACACCAAATACACAAAATAATGTTCTTTTTAGCAGCATCATATGACCCCTTTAACACTCGTCTGATCATCCTCATATTTTATTTTATTTTTTAAAGAAATGTATACATAATCTGCCACTTAAGTTTGTACATTTGAAGGTTTTTAAGATCATGAGAAACATAAATTCAGTCAAGTGTGCCCAAACGTTTGTTGTACGTGCAGAGACTGACCACATAAAGTTTAGCTCAGGTTCATAACTCCGCTTACTAAGGGTAATAATTAATACTGTATTGTGAGGCAAGTAAGACAGCAACTGAACACCTTGACGTTCTTTCTTTCCTTCACAGTAACAGAGTCACAGAGGAAGGATGGCGGACCTCGTGTAAATCTGATGAAGCCTGTTTTGTCCTTGTATTGGAACTGTGAAGGTCTCAGATGAATTCAAACTGAGAGGAACAGAGGAACAGGTCAGTACAAAGCTTTGCTGTTTTTTGCATTCAGTTCATTAGGTTTTGTCAGTGTGTCAAATATTTTGTTGTATGTGTACTGTAAAAACAGTTTGTCAGGAAACCAAGCAATATGCCTCATGTGTTAACATCTAAACTATGGTTTTATTTAGGCTACTGTATATGCCGTATGAAATCAGCCTGATTACTTTAGATGACGTATTTGAAGAACATAACAAAAAGTATAATTTAAAACAAAATGATCAACAGCACAATACTAAGAATCCTTTTTTCAAAGAAAATTGCTATATATTTTTAGAACATATATTCCCTGAACAAATGAATTTCCAGTTTCTTTTGGGTTGTGTGAAATTCTCTTCACTGTACTGTTGGGCAAGACGTTAATTATTGATCATTAGCATACGCCTTTCTCCTTTGCCAAACTCTGCAGGGTTCTCGCCAAGGGCACTATTCTGAAACATGTTAAAATGCAAAGCATGGTGTTTTTTTCAGTGTTATTGATTTGAATAGATTACTGAAACATAATCTTGATAAACAGATGGGATTTCAGTTGTAACCTTAAAGAAATAGTTCACCCAAAAATGAAAATATTTTGAAAATCACCCTCAGGCCATCCAAGATGTAGATGAGTTTGTTTCATCATCTGAATCAACATTGACTTATATGAATCAACATTGACGTAAAATTATAAGTTTGTGCTGGAATGACTAGGCAGGAGCAACCATCAGGTTGACGTCTAGCAACCATATGGAACTCTAAAATAAACTTGGTTACAGGAAATATGGCACTGATAACAACGACGTTATGAGTTAAAGGAAAAGTTCACCCCAAAATTAAAATGAGCTGAAAATACTCACCCTCAGGCCATCCAAGATGTAGATGAGTTTGTTTCTTCATCAGAACAGATTTAGAGAAATGTAGCATCCATGTAGATGAGTTTGTTTCATCATCTGAATCAACATTGACTTATATGAATCAACATTGACGTAAAATTATAAGTTTGTGCTGGAATGACTAGGCAGGAGCAACCATCAGGTTGACGTCTAGCAACCATATGGAACTCTAAAATAAACTTGGTTACAGGAAATATGGCACTGATAACAACGACGTTATGAGTTAAAGGAAAAGTTCACCCCAAAATTAAAATGAGCTGAAAATACTCACCCTCAGGCCATCCAAGACGTAGATGAGTTTGTTTCTTCATCAGTACAGATTTGGAGAAATGTAGCATCCCATCAGTGGCTCACCAGTGGATGCTCTGCAGTGAATGGGTGCCGTCAGAATGAGAGTCCAAACAGCTGATAAAAACATCACAATAATCCACACCACTCCAGTCCATCAATAAACATCTTGTGAAGTTAAAAGCTGCTTGTTTATAAATAACAAATCATTAAGAGTTTTTTTTTTACTTAGAACAGCTGCTTCCTAAAAATGAGTCCATAATCCATACTATTGCTTCCTCCAGTGAAAAGGATGTATCATCTGAATTGAAGTATTGAGAAATATTGAGAAATATTCACAGATTAAACACCATTTAGAAGCGAAAAACAGCTGTTTGGACTCTCATTCTGACGGCACCCATTCACAGCAGAGGATCCACTGGTGAGCAAGTGAAGTAATGCTAACTTTCTCCAAATTTGTTCCCATGAACAAACAAGCTCATCTATATTTTGAGTTAGCCTGAGGGTGAGTACATCTTAAGCACATTTTAATTTTTGGGTGAACTATTCTTTTAAAGTGACTGTTATAAACCGTCCTCCCGGCAGTCATGCTGTGTGAGGCTTCCAGAATGATTGGCATAATATTGGCTGACGCTGTGGCCTATAAGAGCAGGCTGAGGCATGTAAACACACCCACAGCGGATATATGCAGAATAAACAGGCAGAGGTAAAGCAGGTCTATGTAGGTATGCAAACTGAAAGGAGGCACATCTGTTGCTGAAGGAGCCACTGAAAGTATCTGTGTGAGTTGCTTTTAATTTTGCATGATTCTTTAACATCAGTATAACATGCATTACTATTTGTATCATTATGTTTTTTAATGAGCTTGCACTGTAAAATGATTGTCAATATAAAAAATAAAAAAAATCAATCCAAAGAGAGAGCAGCTAAATTATGCATTCATAAAAGTCACAATATGTCTGCTTAACATAAAACTGTTGAGATGTCTAATAGCATTTGTTCAGTAGTTTAAGTTACACCAAATGTCATTAGACGCAGATATGATCTATAACAAACATTGAACGACGTTCTGAGGAAATTCTAAGTGAGTTCTCAGCTACCTTATGGCTTTATTCAGTGCATTGATCGATATGTGTTGGTCTGTGTCATTAATGAAAGCACAGTAAGGGGTGTGTGGTGACCAGAAAAAGCATTTAGTGCAACTTTAAAAGCTAATTTTCTGCAGTGGGCTTTGAAAAACAACTGGAAACACTTGTATGCTGATATATACCAGCTAATGCATGCTTGGTTTTTTTAAAAAACATTTTACAAAATGTCTATCTAAATTCTAACTTTGCACAGCAACTAGGCTTATAAATTTATCAATAAATCCATGAATCAATCTCATTCATTTTAACTTATTAACTATTGCTTGTTTGACAGATGTTATGTATATAATTTGTATACGTTGTCCCCTCAGTCCTGAATTTCACATCTTATTCTTCAGATATGATTGATTTCATTGTCTTTCTCTCTGACAGATCTGGATCAGAATGGCAATATTTAACAACACAACCACAACTAACATCAGCGATCGTTATCACTGTAAGATAGAAGAACACTTCAAGTACATTCTCCTCCCGGTGAGTTACTCTCTGGTGTTTGTGTTCGGTCTGGGGTTGAACATCACGGCCATGTACGTCATCCTGTTCCGAACCAAACACTGGAAGCCCAGCACCATCTACATGATCAACCTCAACGTCTGCGACACGCTTTACGTCCT